AAATTTTTTTTGTTTTGTTTTTTGGCTTCTTCATTTGTGCATGAGTATGAAAATCTTATATAATCCTTTTTGCTTGCTTTGTTACCCTATCTTACTTTCTATAAAAAGCACCAACAATAGCATTGAATAAAAATGTTTATTAATGCCTCTACATTCAGAACATAGAATGCTTGGCTCATTCATGTTTCACTATGTTTTACTCTAAGACAGGCATATTTAAAACTGCTGCACAAATTACTATGAAAAGCACATTTCCTCAGCCAAAAAATCATGATTTGTACTTTGCTTCAGTTATCCCATCCTACATTTATATTCTTGACCTAAACTTACCTGTTTCCTTAACCTTCAAATGAAAGTATAAAAACAACTGCCACACATTCTGCTAGATCATATAGCAAAATTGCCTCCCAAAGTCAGCTTCAAAGCCATGATCATCTGATCTCATCCTCTACTGATGCTGGGACTAAAGGAATCACACTTAGCCTAGCGCTTTATACATAAGTCCTTACCACTGCAATTGTTTAAATAAAAGATAATCAAAAACTGCATACTTTTGTTAGTTTTTATCAAATAGCAAGAAATATAAAAGTGACTATTGTAATGTATTCAAAACAAGAATCGATTGCTTAAAATGACAACTGCCCCAATGACGCTCAGCATAGTCAGTGCATAAACAAATGTGTTTTCCAAGGGATGTTAGAGGATAACTGCTGAGTGGCCAAGTGATAACAGTATGATACTAAAGATTCATGCATATATTTCTCAAAGGAAGGTTGAGACTCAAGGCCTTGAATATCTTAAATTTGCTCACAAAAATCTGAATCAAAAGCAGAGATGGTGCATATCTATTACCCCAGCACTCAAGAAGCTGAGAGAGAAGGGTTGTTGTAAAGTCAAAGAAATTGTAGGCACAATATGGGTTTCAAATCCAGCTGATGCATGTAGTGAAAGCCTGTCTCAATAAAACACAACTAACCTAAACAAAGTAAAACCAAACATCCCAGCTGGATGGAGACCGAATTCTTCAAAGCTTAATTCCATGTCTTGGTGATTAAATTTATGTATAGACACATTTTTTGAAAAAGCAATTTGGATGCTAGATTGCAACTCACAGCCAAATGGGAGCACTGATTTTTGTGCTGAGTCACTGCAATGGTCCCTGTGTCCCCACTGTCTCTAAAGCAGAGCTCACAGTGGGAGCCTGCAGGACTAGCATCCACAAAGCAAAGGGGTAGACAAATGTCTCATGAATCACTTTAATAGACTACAGATGATATCTCTTCAAATCTCATTTAGGTCACTGAGCCCTTTGTTCTTAATTTACTTAACCAGTATTTTGAAATTTGAATTTAGTTTCATACAAGAAAACATAAGTAACATCAAATATGGTACATAAATAATAACTTGAATGATAATGGAAAACTGTGTATGTAAACAATGTATAAACATTGAAACAAGGCACACATTGCAAATTATAGCTCAAAGTCACCAAGTGATCATCTTTCACTCAGAAATAAGAAACATATCTTGTGAGGCTGATGCAAGAGAACTGCCTTGAGTTTGAGGCCAGCCTCAGTTACAGAGCTGTCTGAAATAGAGAGAAAGACCCTGCCTGCAAAACCCCACAAAAAATGAAACTTGAAAATTGACTGCATAAAACAACACTGGTTTGTTTTAAAAATTATATTCATACAATATAGTAACACTCCAAGAACTTTCAACATGTTCTGACATAGAATGTTGATACTTTCCTTAATACATAGAAAACACATTCACGTTTGGGTATTTATCTCAGTGGCATAAACACCTGCCTGGCAAGCATGAGCTAATGAGTTCAATCCCTGGTACAAAAAAAAAAAAAAAAAAAAAAGATTCAAATTCCTACTTCATGACACTGGCACATAATTGGAGAAAATCAAAATTGGATCTGAATTATAGAACACAGAATTCATGCTTTAACATGTATGTGGAATACTGATTATTGACAGAGCTGTTGTTACTCATCTCAAGTAAGAAATAAGAAGCCAACTTTAACTTTATGCTTACCCTAAGAACTACTTGACTTTCAGTAAAGATCCTCTCAGTTGTAAATCCTGCTATTGACACCCTGTATCATGCCAATCACTTGCACATCCTTTCCATCCTGCTCTGATCCACACTACACAGAAAACCCTTCATGCCTAACAATGGATATCCCTGCAGCACAACTTCTATTTAGGGCTTCTATTTTACACCACTTAGTAAAGTCCATTGCAGAAAATTTCTATATGTAAACAATGTGTATTATCAGCCAAGCTGTTAAGTCAGCTGTTAATTCAGAGATGACACCCCTATTCCTTTCCATTCAGAAGGATATCATGAGCATGTGTCCATGCAAATGCATGCATTTTAGCATTTTTCAATGAGAGTTTAATAGGCAGGTGATTCGAGCTGAGAGAACAATTTCACCTCAGGAACTAAGAGCTGTAGTTCCGCCAAGGAACCTGGAAGCTGTGCTCAGTCACACACAACATAAGAGATCATAATCTATTTTGAAAGTGTGACAGGCAAAATTCCAACACCCATTCTTCTTGGCAGGTAACCATGAGAGCAGGGCAGTATCTCAGCACACAAAAGTCTCAGTGTTACCTCCAGCCATGTGGCCTAAGGAGTGTGGAAACTAGTAACCCTGTTTATGGATGGCAGGATGGGTTTTCTGTCACAAGCTTGCTAAGGAACAGAAAAAAAAAAAAAAGACCCAGATGGTGTCTCACCCATGTTCAGTGAGTAAAGTTACTGTTGTATGCATATTAGCAGTGGCAAGTAAACTGTCCCGGAGGAAGAAAGAGGTGGTTTTAAGGAAGAGAGACTCAAAATGGGAGGGATTCCCAGGAGACACTCAATCTGCCTTAGTGGTCAGGGAACCAAATGATAGGATTTTTGGCGTGCTAAAACAGAGAATACAAAATAAAAATGTCATGTATGGGCATACATATAGCTTTCCATTGGGGTGGTGCTTAAAGGTGGCATTGCTGATGTGTAAGTAACTGATTGGGAGTCTTTTCATGCCACAGGTAAGTTGCATAGGAGAGGGGAAAGAGACCACTGGTCCCACCTCCCAGTGCTGAAATATCCCATCTAGAGGAAAATCCTCTCAATTTCTTTCTCACAAAAAATATATTCTGCTCTTACTTCCATTGTTCTTAATTATTCATTCTTCAATTTTAGAGAACCTAAACTCATACCCAACATAGTAGGTCAGGAGTTTCATTCCCCTATATCACTGTCTGATTGCTTATATTTCTAACTAACTCAGCTGCCCATAAAATTAAGAATCATTGTCAACTTCACTTAGCATAATCATAGCAAATAAAATGTACTTAGTGGATATAGTGAAATATATGTTTAAAATGAAAAAAAAATAATTATCACAGATTCTCTACCTAGCATCACCAAACATTTTCAGCTTTCAAGTATGTGGAAAAATAAAAACTAAAAACAACTCTCAGCAAATACCCATAGTATAAAGGACAGTATATCATTCACCGTATTTACCATGTTATCTATGGACATTTTGTAGACTGAAAAAGAAAAATTGAGCTGTTGAATGAACAACTATGAATTTCAATAATTGTGCTCATAGAACTACAGGGTTGAGAATTGTAGAAAAAAAATTTTGGTACCAGGGATTGAACTCATGACTGTTATACTCTAGAAAAAATAGCTTCATTATATTTGAATTATAGCAAATTCCCTGTAACATGTCCATACCATATATATGTTTTCCTTCTCTATCTGGGTGACCTAATTGATATGTTAATCAATGCTCTCCACTGTAAAGAATTTTAAAATCTTACCTAATTGATATGTTAACCATTGCTGCCCTCTACAAATAACAGATGTAGTGCTAAAATAAGCTAACAAAGGTTGTTAATTGCTACTAGACTTCCTATTCTCTGCTGAAGGAAACAGAATTGATTCCTGTTTACAGGAAATCTTGCTTGTTTGCAGGAAAATCTGCTTGTTACCTGAACTTTGCTCTTCCCAGTGTAATCACTGTGATCTTGTTCTGTAGTGCTCCCCAGCCCCCCTCCTTACATTGTGAAACCAGCAGCTGTTTGCAGTTTTACAAGATAAAAGCCTGCCTTTTAGTTGGGAGGTGGGCAGTCTGCAAATTGGCTCCTGGAGACTGTGTCACCAGGCCTGGCCTAAAATAAAGCCTTTGCTCCCTAAATTTTAATATCTTGCTTCCTTAAATATTATTCCAAGGTCTGAGTTATCAGAATGATCTTGTGCTTGCCTGGGTGGTACTTGTACCACTGAGTTCAATGCCCAGCCTGAACAGCCTTAGATTCTAAATATGACTATTACTACTGTTTAATTTGCCATTGACAGATTTAATTGAAAATTTTGTTAATCTACATCTTTACAAATGAAATTATTTTCCTTCCTTGCAGTTTAAATCACATTTTTTAGGTACTGGGGATCAAACTAACAACCTGGCACTGGCCAGGCAGGTACTTCTGCCTGCTGAGCTAAAACCCAGGCCCCTATTAAATGATATTGTATTAAATATATAAATATCACTTTATCCATTCAAATAGCATTGTGATTTTACTACAGGAGGCCAAGGTACACAGAAATTGATAAACAGTCAGAAAGGAAATGGACCCTCAAAGAATCAATGTAAAAAAACTAAATATGGGGGCTAGAGATTTAGCTCAGTGGTATAAGTGCCTGCTTTGCAAGCAGGCAGTCGTGAGTTCAATCCCCAGTACCGATAAAAATGAAAAACACACACAAAAAAAACAAAACAAAAAAAAAAAAAAAACAAAAAAAACCTAAATACAACAATCACTGCTAGAGGCACAGCTGAAGCAAGCCAGACCTAAACGTGAAGATGCAGTAACCATGTCTACATGCCTCTTAAAGAGAAAAACAATGTGATAGCTCGGACAACAGAATAAAATCCAAGGAAGTAAGAAATTAAAATTTGGGGAGCAAAGGCTTTATTTCCATACCTGGGAGCACAGTCTCCTTAGGATTGACCCAAAGACCATGCACCTCACAGTTGGGGGAAGAGGCTTTTAAAGCTGAAAATCACAGAAATGTTGTAATCACTGACACAGTTAGATAGCATCTGGGCTTTACAAAACTTCCTGAAATTTCCTTGAAGTTAATCATTTTCTAAAGAACAACACATTTTATTATAGACCACCGGGTAGGGGAGGGAGTTATAAGAAACTGAAACCTAAGGCTTTTACGGCCTTCCAGGAAATTGAAACTTAACCTAGATAGATAGGAAGGGGGAAGGTGGGAGGGGGAAGTGGAAGGCAGTGTAGTGCAAAGAGAACAGAAATAAGGCACAATGGTTAGAGTTAGGCTATAACATTCCCCTCTGATGTTGTAACATAGGCCAAATCCTTGGCCTTATTATTTTATTATTACTTAAGTGCCTCTGGGAACACACCCATATGTTTGTTGTCTAACCATCATTAATTTTCTGTTTTGCATCTAATATCTGATATACATAGTCAGCTTATTGATTATGCAGGGGCCTAGAGTAACTAATACTAGAATCATAACAAGAGAACCAGCTAACATCGCTATTATACTAGTCATCCATGGTGGGAGGGAGAGCATTCGTTCCATCCACTGCGGAGTTCCTTGTCTTAGTTTTTCTCTTTCCTGTAGACATTTCTGGAGTTCAGCCAAATTTTGTTTTACTATCCCAGACTTATTAGCATACAGGCAACATTTTTCCCCTAATGCCAAACACAATCCTCCTTTTTCAGCTAATAGGAGGTCTAGCCTTCTACAATTTTGGAGAGCTACTTCAGCTAATGCACTGATTGAGCTTTCTAAGGCCTCAATGGCATTGTGAATTTGTTTCATTCCTTCATCTACCTGTTTGGATAAAATGTGGTAATGGTGTGTACTAACTCCCAGGGAGGCAGAACCCAGCCCGAGGGCTGAGAATATACTGATTCCAGCCATAATAGGAAGAACTGGACTTCTCTTATCTATTTGGTGGCTGGTAGAGATGAGGGCCCTATTTTCTTCTTCTTCGGAATGCCAGTAAATTCTAGGCAGGATCTGGGTCAGCACACAAACTTCATTCTGGTCAATAACAAACTTTCCTGAAGCAATAAAGGGGTACCATCCCAAAGTACAAGCCCACTAATGGCTGGCTGGGGCCACTATGGGAGTATTATTACCAGACCCTGTAATGCGATAGGAATGGGAGAGATCACAATATTCAGGAGCCGTGTGGCTGCAGTGATATATATAGGACCTATTTAAACCCTCTAGACTGGTACTTTTCCACAGAGATTGAGGGAGAAATATATCCCATCTGGTGGCACTGGAGGCTAGTTTACTGGTGACTGTGATGTAACCCTTGTAGAACGGACTCTCAGAGGACAGACATAGACAACACGGGATTGTCAGACCACTGTCAATGGATCCATTAATTAGCTCAGCTACTATTTCTAAGGGTTTGGAATATCTCCATCATTGAGGGTGGCATGGGGGTTTCAGGCTCAGCACCAGTTACTAATGAGGGTGTAAGTTTCTGTCTAGACTTCACTGGGCCAGTTTCTTGTGGCCTCTTAGTGGTTGCAAGTTGGAATGGGTTTGATCTGGACCAGGCACCTCAACTTTGATCCAATATTTGAGGTCCTCTTTCTTTTTCCACATGCACATTTTTACTTGGGGTTGGTTTGTATCATATAGAGTTCCAATACAAAGGGCTTCAGGCACTGGAAGCATTGGAGTATGCCTCCAGAATTGGCTTGGAATGGACATTGGCACCTTTATTGGAGTAGGGACCACCACTGGGCAGCATTCCCTTTTGTATTGAACTACAGGAGCTTTTCTAGGTGGTTTATATAGAATATTAATATTAACTCTAGGGTCATACCCAGTGCAAAAGATCTTAACACAGAGTACCTACTTTTCGGTGGACACTGCTGCCCTGGCCACTCATTTGCCGTTCTGGATGAAGCTGCTTCCATCGATGAAATAGTTGTTGGCATCTCCCAAACGCTCATTGGTGAGATCATCCCATAGACTCTGTTGTAGATCTAGGATGTCAGCACACTCATGGAGAGGTGTGTGTTGACTCTCTGGGTCATCATTGCGCATAAGGGTGGCTGGGTTTAAAGCTGCAGAAGCCTTGAAATCTACTGACTCTTGGTCTAGCAGCAGAGCCTGATAGTGTAAAATTCTAGTGTTCGAGAGCCATTTCTTAGGAGGGGTTTTGAGAAGAGTCTCTAAACTGTGGGAGGTCACCACAGAAATCTTTTGTATAAGAGTGAGTTTTTTAGCCTCCTTGAGTAACATCACCACAGGGGCTAGGATTCTTAGGCATGGGGACCACCCTCCTGCTACTGTATTGAGTCTCTTAGAGAGGTAGGCTATAAGCCTCTTCCAAGGGCCAATGTCTTGAGTCAAGACTCTTTTTACAATGCCTATGAGTTCATCTATAAACAAGGTAAATGGCTTGGTAACATTAGGGAGTCCCAGGGCTGGAGCCTCGGTCAGGGCCTGTTTGAGCTATTAGAAGTCCTGCTCGCGGTCATTGGTCCAGTCTAATGGCTTTTGGGTCTCTCCCTTAAGAGAGACATACATCAGGTAATCCATTTTGATGAAATTTAGAATCCATAGCCTACAGTACCTGACAGCTCCCAGAAACTTGCATACTTGTTTCGTAGTTTCTGGGGTTGTTATCTGTAATATGGCTTGGACTCTTTCTCTAGACAAAGTTCTTTTGCCTTCTTGTAACTTGTGGCCCTGGTAAATCACAGACTGGTGGCACAACTGAGCCTTCTTAGCTGAGACTTTATAGCCTAATTGCCCCAAAGTCTTTAACAGTTCCTTGCTTGTCTCTCGACAAGTCTCTAATGAAGAGGAGGCTACCAACAACTCATCCACATACAGAGCACTATCTTGGGGTGTTCTTCCCTAAATCTCAAAAGATCTCTGGCTAGTGCCTCATCGAAAAGGGTGGGCGAGTTCTTAAAGCCCTGAGGTAAGTGAGTCCAGGTCAGCTGTTCTTTCACTTCTGAATCTGGGTCAGTCCACTCAAAGGCAAAAAGGAGCTGACTCACCCGTGTGAGGGGCAGAGTGAAGAATACACCCTTGAGGTCCAAAACAGAGTACCAGTTGTTCTCTGGATTGTGGAGGCTAAGAAGAGTATAAAGGTTAGGCACCATTGGGTGTAGAGTCAGTACTCATCTATTAATCTCTCGGAGATCCTGTACAAGACAATAGTCATTTTTCCTGGCTTCTGGACTGGAAGTAGAGGTATATTCCTTGGAGAGACACAAGGAATTAAGATACCATTGTCTCTTAATCTCTGAATGTGGACTTTGATCCCTTTTCAGGCTTTGATCCCTTTGTAGGCATAACAGGTATTGCAAATGGGGTGTCCCTAGGGTAGGAGCTCCACCACAAGGGGCAGCAGGTTAATTGCTAGCCCTGGGGGGGTGTTGGGTTCTGCCCAAACTTCTAGGATTTCCTGCTTCCATTTGCTTAACAATTTTAATTCTAGGTCAGTTTATAATGGCTCAGGTACACTTGACAAATTTCCCAGTAGGCGGTAATTTTCTCCTACTGGGACAAGAGCTAGTACTCTGATGCCTTCTGAGTCCAGAGTTGTATCCACCCCCAGTTTTAGTCTTGGCTCATGTGTAAATAAGTCAATATGCACTTGCAATATATGGAGGAGGTCTCGTCCCAAGAGAGGGTCTGGACACTCAGGAACCCATAGAAAATCATGTTGGACCAGGTTATGTCCAGGTCAAGCAAAACTAGCTGTCACTTTTGGGTACAATTTTCATCTCCCTGTGGCTCTTATCACATTGACTGAACTCTTGGTTAGCTTTCCTAAAGGTTGGGTCAGCACAGAATAGGTGACTCCTGTATTGACCAGGAAGTCCACCAGTTGCTTTCCCACTTGAAGAGTTATCCAGGGCTTGGGGGGTGGTGTCGATCCCTGACCTCCTCATTGTTGAGACAACAGGGACTTTATCTCTTTTTATAGCTTGACATTTAACGTTGGGCAATATTTATGCCAATGTCCCATCTCTTTGCAATATGCACATTGTTCTTTATCTAAAGGAGGCCACTGGCCTTTAACCTCATTTTTCCCAATGCTAGTCAATCTTTTAGATTCTTTCTCACCAAGCAATTCCAAAACTTTAGTCATCTTTTTATTTGTGGCTTCTAGTAGGGTCTCCCTGTTGTTGAAAACCTTCTGTGCTATCTCCATCAACTGGCTGAGGGACATCCCTTAAAATCCCTCAAGTTTCTGTAACTTTTTCCTAACATGGGGGGCCGAGTGAGACACGAAAGCAATGTTAATCACTTGAGTGTTTTCAGATGCCATCAGATAAATTGGAGCATGTAATCTGTAGGCCTCTAGGAGGTGCTCCAAGAACATAGCAGGAGACTCATCAGCTAACTGTCTTACCTCACTCACTCGAGACAGATTGGTAGACTTGTTAGCAGTGGCACGAAGTGCATCTAGGAGCCTCAGGCAATAATCATCAAGAGCCTTCTTACCTCCATCCGTGTTGGGGCCCTATTCAGGTTGAGAGGAAGGGAACAGATGTTCACGTCTCTGCTGATGAGCCCATAGAGTTCCACCCAGATCCCAAACTCCCTTTTGTCCTAGAGTGTAGATATGCATTCTTTCCTTGGCCATAAAAAGAATGCGCAGGATCTGCTAACAGTCATCCCAAGTGAGGCTATGGGTAGAGAAAACAGATTTTATAAGGTTAATCAGAGTTTCTGGGTCCTTTGAGAAAGGGGGGATTTGAGTTTCCAGTTAGAGATCAGAGAAAGAGAAGGTAGTATACACAAACATGGAGCCCCCTCTTGAGGGTGGGGACTTCCTGCAAAAGGTACAGCAGTGCTGCTTCGGGACCTTGTTCTGGAGGTCACTCTAGCCTTGGGTGGTGGGAGGTTTGGATAAGATGATGCGGGGAGGAGTGGTGAGTCAGGGTGGGGACTAGGGGCAGGGTACAGGGGAGGGGGCAAGGGTAGAATGTCTAGTGGGTCAGAAGAGTCTTCACTTGGAGGCAAGACTGGAGGTGCATTGGGTCCAGGTGCCGCGTCTTCAGACTTTGTTTTCAGTTTGAAGGCTGCTAGAACTCCATCCTGAGAGGGCTTAATCCATGAGGGGGCATCATAGATTATATCTATCCAAATCTGAATACAGACAACTTGGTCAGGATGAACAGGGGGCCCAAACACATACTGGTGAACAGCCTGCGTAGTTCCCAGGTCAAAAGATCCAGAAGGGGGCCAGACCCCTTGGGTCCCCATCGGCCACTCCTGTGTGACAAAAGTTGTTAATCTGGCCTTATGAACCTTTTCCACATATCCCTCAGCTCATCACTTAAATTATTTGAAGTGATCAAGCACAAGGCCAAGGGGAGCACTAGAAAAAGACTTGGTCTGACCCATGGCTGGCAATGGCGCTGGTTTACTTTTCCTGTCAGGAAATTTAAGAGACAAAGACAAGGTCAGAAGGAAAAGACCAATTATTAATGAGAAGAAGAGAATGGTTAAAATTTCTCTGGCTGGCTTTGGGCTTGCAGAAGTGGTTCCTACGAGAAAATGATCTGTAAGAGTCAGGTGACCAAAAGGACAATTAGACCACATAGACACAAAGCCAAACATAAAAGACATGACACGCTGCAGCAAAAAATGGCCTTTGCTCAAAAATTCAATCAATTCTGGATTTTTGTAGGAATTTACCAAACTAGCCAATGGTGCAGTTCGCTACCTAAGGCAGAGTCACAAATGGACAGAGTGCATTGCAAAAGCCAACTGACTCCGGACTCAGGAGATCCCCGCACCCCAAATTGAGGGCATCCCCTCCAAAAGTACAAAAATACAAAGTGACTATGGCCCAAAAAGCCCTCCAGAGTACTTACTTTCAAATGTTCAGAATTGAGTCTGGGGTCTTGCTCCCCTCCCAGACAAGACCCCAAATGTGATAGCTCAGACCCCAGAATAAAATCCAATGAAGCAAAAAATTAAAATATGGGGAGCAAAGGCTTTATTTCCAGGCCTCAGGGCACAGTCTCCTTAGGATCCACCCAAAGACCGCGCTCCTCACAGTTGGGGGAAGAGGCTTTTAAAGCTGAAAACTGCAGGAATGTTGTAATCACTGACACAGATAGCATCTGGGCTTTACAGAACTTCCTGAAATTTCCTTGAAGTTAAGCATTGTCTGAAGAACAACACATTTTATTATAGACCACGTGTAGGGAAGGGGGTTACAAGAAACTGAAACCTAAGGCTTTTAAGGCCTTGCAGGAAATTGAAACTTAACCTAGATAGATAGGAAGGGGGAAAGAGGAAAGCGGAGGCAGTGTGGCACAAATAGAACAGAAATAGGGTGCAATGATTAGAGCTATGCTATAACAAATAATAGCTTGAAATGTACTACAGTTACCACCACCTTCCCCAGGAAGTCCAGATAGGCATCTATTACCATCCTCAATGACCAGAACAACTGGACTTTTATTTGCACAAAATGCCTTGGCTCTTTCTGCATACCTTTTCTGGGTGCCTTGCTACCCTTCTAAATAATATTAGTTAAGCACCTATAAGCTTATAGGTTTATTGTAGTTTGAGACCCACACTGTACTTGCATTCTAACTTTGCTGTATAAATGACCCCTGACAATAGATCTGTGGCCTAAACACTGAAGACCCCTCCTGCAATGGCAGGGCTATTCTGTCTTTTTTTTTCCTAAGAAAACTTTTTGAACTTCTTTTGATTTGTGACTTCATTCTTAAATGTTGTGAGCCAACCAACTTGCTGGATATGCCATCAAACAGGGTAGGATTATATTTCTCCTATTTTAATTTGAATATGAAACAGCTGCTAAAGGCCATGATCCAAAGCCTTGATTTCAAGCTGCTTGTTTGCTCTGAGTTTGACATTTCCATGAGCTTTTGGACCTCCTGTTTAGTAGACTGCAGAGGTATTGGAGGAAGGAGGTCACTATTGTGATGTAGCACAATAGGTCGCATTCATAACTATATTTTTCACTGCCTCCTGGGTAACACTTCATGACCAGCTTTCCTCTGCCACATCATTCTATAATTCCCATTTTAGGTAAGTCAGCTTTCATTCAGCTCTACTACTTTTGTTTTCTTTTAATAGTCTTTCTATGTTCCTCAGTTTTTTATATTTTTCATTTTTCTTTTTCAAAACATACTCCCACTTTTTTTTTTGTCTTTTTCATTTTTACCGGTACCAGGGATCGAACTCACGACCGCCTGCTTGCAAGGCAGGTGCTTATGTCACTGAGCTAAATACCCAGCCCCCATACTCCCACTTTTAGTTCTGGCTAACCTTGCACTCACTATGTAAGTTAGTCTGTCCTTGAATACATGGCCTTTCTCCTGTTTCAGCCTCTTAAATGCTGGGTAAAGAGGTGGGTATCATAACACATGGTGTTTGTCTTTTTTCTTCCTTCCTTTTCACTATTATTCTTTCATTAAGGTGACACTGTATTTAATCCAGGTGCTTGTTTGTGTCAGTAAACCTTTCTGGAGCTTGAGATCCCATTTGCAAACAACAATATAGGAATCAAAGCAGCCAAAGAATAAATTTGGAATTTAAATAGCTGCACTCAGAAACACTTCTATACAGACTCACTTCCCCCATTTCAAAATCTAAACAAGTGGTCCTGGACTGGAAAGTTAAGAGTTTTTAAAAGAGAGAATCACAAAGAACATTCTATTGGAAACAGTGTAGCTAGAATCTCATGTTAATTTTTGTCTGACACCTGTATCCTGTTTTTTTTTTTTTTTTTTTTTTTGAGCAGGTTAAATTTTTTTCTTTGGCTACAGCTCATTTTGCTTTACTCACTGGACTTATACAATGAGTGATTTTCCATTTTCCTGGGTCAAATACAAGGCACTAGTTAAATGTAGGCCTGAAGATGCTAGGATACAGTGCCAAGTCTTAATATTTTCTAGGTAAAAACACACATAATATTTGACTATTCCAATATTTGTAATGCTCAGCATTATAATAAAGCCTGATCTAGAGTCATGAAAGGGCAATGTCACCAGGTCTGTCATTATTTTCCACTGGTCTTTTTCCTCATCTTCCATAAATACTCTCTGAGTTCATAATATTGGTACTCAAATTTGACACATATTCCTAGCTGTGATGTCTCCCCTTTTTGCAGTAGTGTAGTCTGTTATCCCCAGCCCATAAAAGATAGAAAGACATCTTCTGATTCCCTACACTCCAGTGGTATTATGTGTTAATTTGGGCACTTTTCCTTTAGGGAAATGACAGTTAATGAGTACATGTGTATCTCATGACTGTTTCCTCATCTATCAAATAACAACAGGAATTCTTTCAGGTGTTGGGTGCACCCCTGTAATCTCAGGACTTGGAATGCTGAGGTAAGATAATCACTGTGAATTTACTGGACTAAAGTGTGAGTCCACAGGCAACCTGAACTGCATAGGAAAACCCTGTCTCAAACAAATAGGAAAAAAAATATCTATTATTGCTGATATCCTTGAGAAGAACTCAATAGTTTGAAACTCTTAGGATCATACCTTTTAGGATACATTACTTGAGTATAAAAACAAGTTAGACTACCTTTAAGGATATGGAAAACAAAAAAACCATGTTGCAAACTTTTATACATATTTAATGCAATGCCCATTCAAATACTATTAGTTTAGCTCACAAATATAGAGAAAAATTTTCTAAAATTCCTTTGGAAATAAAGAAGATTTTGAATACTAAAGACATTTCTGGGCAACAAAGGCAAGTCAGGAGGCATCACAATTCTTCACTTGCTATAATACTAGAAAGCTTCTGTCACAAAATCACCAGAGTACTGGCAGAAAAACAGAACTGATAATCTATCAAAGAGACTAGAAAATGTAGACACAACTACAAACACACTCTGCTACCTTGTCTTTGATAAAGGAGCCAAATATTTTCACTGGAAGGGAGATAGCCTCTTCAATAATGCTGAAGGAAATGACTTTCCCCATACTGAAGACTTAAACTGGTTCCATGCCTATCATCATGAAACAGACAAAAGTCAAACTAGCTTGGAAATATAAATATTACAACAGAAACACTAATGAGGCTTCATGAACAAAACACAAATTTTGAAGAATCAACTTCAAAGAATCAACCATGGGGACCCCATCTTATTAAATATTTGTACATCAAAAGAAATCATAAACAGTGAAAAAACAATGCACAATTTGGGCAAGGGATGTCTTTCCATTTTCTGATAATCTCTTCAGTATCCTTTTACTAAGTACTGTATTTTCAATATGTAAGTCCTTGACATTCTTTGTTAGGTTCATTAGAAGTATTTCATTTTCTTGGAGGATATTGTAAAGGATGTGGTTTCTGTAACTTCTCTCTTAGTGAGTTGATTGTGTACAGGAATGCTCTTGATTTTTGATTGTCAACTTCATCTTCAGCTACATTATTGAATTTGGTTAAGTCTAGAAGTCTTTTGGTGGAGTAATTGATATCTTCTATATAGAATATCATGTGATCTGTGAATAATGA